ATCCCTGGGTTAGGAAGATTCCCTAGCGAAGGGAACAGCTACCCACTCTAGTATTCTTGCCTGGAGAATTCCATGGACTGTATAGTCCTTGGGGTCGCAAAGAGTCGGACACGACCGAGTCACTTTCATGTTCACTTTTAGTAGAAGAAGGCACAATTGGCGACAGAGCAAGCAGCCCAGCTTAGCATGGTCGGGGGCAGGGCTGCCCTTGAGCAGCCTGGAGAGTTGTTCAGTCGCTCAGTTGCGTCCGACTCTGTGACCCCATGGACCTCAGAATGTTAGGCTTCCCTGCCCTTCACTATCTCCCAGCATTGGCTCACACTAATGTCCATTGAGTCGATGATGCCATCCAACCATCTCATCCTCTGTCATCCCCTTCTCCTCACTAGAGGATGGCACTTGGGAAAATGCTGGCACCCCTGTGCTTATGGAATTGTTGGTTACTTGGATTGTTATTATGTGGCACGAAGGTGTTCTGGGCCCTGCTGAATCAAAAACCAGGAAACACTGCACGGCAAGTTCAAGTTTTAGTGGGATTTCTTTCTTTCTTTTTTTTTTTTTTAAATCAGGATTGAAGACCTGTTCATATGTATCTTTGTTTTGAAGCAAACACCTGAAAGGTCACCGCGTCACCCAGGGCAGGGTGTGAGTGGCTTGGTCTCAGAGCCTTCCTGCCTGCTGGAGAACATGCTCTCTGACCTCTAGCAAATCCTGTGACCTTGGCAGAGGTGAATCTGTCTGGTTGGAAGGGGGTGTGGTTAGAAAGCAGCTTGAGTGTTGCAGGATGAGACCTCTGGGTGTGCAGGTGTCAGTAGCACATGACTCGGAGGATAATTGCTGTTTGCCATTGGCCCCGGGGACTTTTGACTCACCTGTCTTGGCTATATGGTATTGTTAAGAGGCCTGAGAAGGAGGATAAGCAAAGAGAGCAAGAACTGGAAAACCAGGAGACAGATTCCCACGTGCCCTCAGCTAACCCCACCAGAGCAGGAGCCTGAATTCCAGAACAGGGTCCAGTGGCACAGTTGCTTCTCATACAGCTTCCCATTCCTCGTCCAATCTGCTCAGATCCCGTGAGGGCACGAACAGGGGCATGAAGGCAGGTGGAGGGTCTAGGCCTCCAGGGGACCCGGGTGCCCAGGCTCGCCCACTGCTGGAGAGCAGCCCTAGGAGGCTGCCTCTGTATGCAGCTCTCTGTTCCAAACGCATCTCTCTGGGCTAAACTTGTGGAAGTTTTTTTTCTTTTTTTTTTGCTGGCTCGTGGTTTCTCAGTTGAAAAATGAGTATAGCCCTGGAGAGGGTTGGATCCAACCACTGTTCATTTTAATAAACATTGAAATTGAGGGATTGTGAGCTTGCCCATGGTACAGGGTACAGAGTGAGAAAGACTCCACCTTTGCCCCGAGGGAGACTGGGTTCTCTACCTTGCCCTACCCTCTTTCTGTCTTCTTCTCCATGTGCTCCCTACACCACCCTTCACCCTGAGGATGCCACGGTGCTGCCTGCCCTGATGCCTTCGCATGTAATGTTCGACGTTCTTCCTCCCTTCCCACCCCTACCTCCAAAAGCATTAAGCCGTCGAGATCAAGCATCATGAATAATTGATGTTTGTGTGTGTTAGTCACTCAGTCATGTCTGACTCTTTGTGACGCCATGGACTGTAGCCCACCAGGCTCCTCCATCCATGGAATTCTCCAGGCAAGAGTACTGGAGTGGGTTGCCGTTCTCCAGGGGATCTTCCCGACGCAGGGATTGAACCTGGGTCTCCTGCATTGCAGGCAGATTCTTTGCCATGTGAGCCACCAGGGGAGCCAAATGATGCTTACTGAGGACCTACTAAGTACCAAGTGCTATGCTAAGCATTTTATATCTGTCACTCCTAAGTGCTCAGAGCAGCCTCATGTGGTCTGTAGTGTTAGCACCCCATTTTATGGATGACATTATTGAAGCTGGCATGGTTAGTTACAGGTAACTCTAAGTGGCAGGGCTGGGTTCAAAACCTGTGCTGCCTGACTCCACACCTATGGCCTTGCCAAACAGCCTCTAAGATCACCTAGGAAGTGAAAGGTTCACTGTACCTTAAGATGCAATTAATTAATGGCCTTGTAAGTCAGAGTTCCCTCTGCCCTTTGCTCACCTGGCAGTGCTGGTCCATACCTCGTTCTGGTGTGACTGCTGTTCATGCTAATTGCCCCATGTAGGAACTTCTAAAGAGTCAGTTTTCTGTTTGACCTTTGAGTTTCCAGAGCCTAGCAGAGTGCCTGGTATGCATAACATGCTCAAAAAAATGTTGACTAATATTGAACAAGTGTAGAGTAAATGAATAAATAGGCAAATAACAATTCAGGAGACAGATTATGACAAATACTAGACGAGGGATCTGAACAAAAACTTGAGGAGTTTGGAGCAGGAGGTGGTCACATATGGGTAGGAAATCAGGAAAGCTTTTTCTGAGGGCAGGGGAAGTGGGGTTCGGTCTAAACCTCAGGCCTGGCTGGGTCTCAGTATAGTGAGAAGGGAGGGAGGGAGTCAGCTGAGGGAAAAGGCAAGTCAAGACGCAAGTGCAGAGTGTGCTCACAGATGGGGGGTCGGAGGGACACAGAAGCATGCTGGGGAATGGTGGTAGAAGAGTGTGCATGGAATATGCTGGTATTATGAATTGAATTGTGTCCTCAAAAGATATGAGGCCCTAACTGCCAGTACCTGTGAATGTGACCTTATTTGGGAATAGAGTCTTTGCAGATGACCAAGATAAGATGACGTTATTCCAACATGAGTGGTGTCCTTCCAAAAAAAGGAGATTTGGACAGAGACAGATCAGCACACAGGAAGAACACCACCTGAAGATGAAGGCAGAGGGACTTCCCTATTGGTCCAGTGGTGAGGAATCCACACTTCCGTTGCAGGAGGCATGGGTTTGATTCCTGGTCAGGGAACTAAGATCCCACATGCCTCATAGTATGGCCAAAAAAAAAAGGATGAAAGTAGAGATTGGGATGATGTGTCCACAAGCCAAGCAATACCAAGGATTGCCAGCACAACATCAGAAGCAAGGAGAGAGGCCTGGAACAGATTGTCTCAACCCATAGAAGGAACTACTCTACCAGGGGGACTAGTACAGCTGCGGAGGGGCCCCACTGGCCCACTGTGGGGGGTTGGACCTTGGTAGCCAAGGGAAAGTCCATGAAGGCTTCTGGGAAAGAATGGTCCCAGTCGGGTATTTGTCCGTCTGTTCTGCCCTGATGGAAGTAGGGGATTCTCTGGGTGGAAAGGTCAGTGGTGGCCAGCAAGGAAATAAGCTGAAGGAAGCTATGGATGGATTGCACAGCCTGAGCTCAGCTCTCCCCTAGGGGCTGAGAGTAAAAGTTACAGTGTCTGTACTCCGCTGCTCATGGTGGAGCCGAGAGGCAGGACAAACACGCAGGGACGGCAGTGAGCAGCACAGCTCAAGGATGGCCTCCTGGCGATCCAGCACTGGGACGGGGTCATGCATGATGACAGCTAGAGCACAGGGTGGGCGCATGGTGGCAGCAGCCCTTCTCCCAGCTCTGCTGGGCCTCAGGTAGTATATTTGTTCAGGTTTTGGGGGATTCCAAGCTACAAAATACAATTCTAACTTGAACAAACAGAGGAATGTATCGGGCATATATAATCAGTGTGTGAATAATGGTGAACACAGGTTGAATGAATGGAGCTGAGTTGGCACATAATTATATGCAAGTCAGTGACAAATACTAAAAGGCAGAGCTGAACAAAATGCACGGAGGTAGGATGTGATCACATCTGTTGGAGAAATCTGGAACCATCTCCCGAAGCAGGCTCCCAAATGAAAGGAACGGCTGCCCGCAGGAAGGATAAGAACTGGGCAGTTCTCGTCCTGGAGAGCCCAATGAGAACTCTAGAGGTCTCTAGACAGGGGTCAATGCGGCATCTCTGAGTGCCTCCCCCAGGATGCCTATTCTCAGGAGAGAACTGATTGGCTTAGCTTGGGCCACAGTGCCATCCCCGGGGGGCGAGGCCTGTGATTGGCAGCTCAGGTCAAAGGGCCTAGTTCCCGAAAGGAAAAGAAGAGGGGACCATTCATTAAAACCAGGTGGAGCTGCAAGGGATTCTAGACAGGCAAAATAGCCACACCCCGCACAGGTGAGAAGAGGGCTTGAAATTTGGGAAGCTGAATGACAAGGCAAGAGTTGGAATGAGTCATGGATGATACTCAGACAGGGAGGAGACACACCTGGTGGGAGCCCAGTGCCAGAGTAGGAGTAATAGACACCTGCCCTTTCGTCTGCCCGGAAGCCACACCCTACGCCTCTTCCCTCCTTCTGAGAACTTTCTCTCCCCTCCTTCTGAGAACTTTCTCTCCCCTCCTCTGCCCCCACCTGCATCGTTTTGGTTCCCGTGGTCGCCTCTCTGACATCCCGGCCTAATGGATCAATCCCGGGCTTCCACCAGACCCAGCCTGAGCCAACCATGGTCATCGGCTCTTTACCCCAAGTCCTTCCTTCCTAGTAGGTCTCTCCAGGAGTTTGAATTAAATTTCTGCCCCTCATGGTTGTCTAGATTTAGGGTCTTATCGATGCACAGTTCCTGCACTCAGGGAGCTCAAAACAAAGCAAGAGAGACAGTAATTAGAAATGCTGCTGGAAAACAGTGTGAGTATACTTCTCCTGTACTGACTGGCACAGTGAGCGCGCAGGGAAATACAAGTCATACACATGCATTCATGCACAGAGGTACTGGAAACAGATGAAACTTCCTAGCCAAAGAAGGGCATTCCAGGAGCAAGAAGAGCAAAGAGTGGAGGTAGGAAAGCACTTGCCAGCTTTGAAGAATTTAGTCCAGCATGACTGGGGTATGGTGTAGGTGTCAGGCAGTGGCTGGAGAGGAGGCGAGTCTGGTTCCTGTGACTCAGGTATAGACTTCATTCTCAGACACAGTGAGAAATGGAGAGCCAGGTAGGGAGCTGTGCCTTGTGACCGGCATGCAGCAGTAATGTGGAGATGTGTACAGTGTTGGGGAGCAACTGTGCTCTGATGATCAAGACCCTCCCCTGTCAGTTGGGCAGGCAGAGAAGCCCAGAGCTAACGTGAGCTTGAGGGCCAAGGGGTCTCAACAGTCAGACAGCAGACTCCAGGACTGGTATCTGGAGATGTGCTGAGGGTCAGGCCAGCAGCTCCCAAACTGAGTCATCAGGCCAGAGGGCTGGTTGTCAAGGATGGAGGCCCAGAGGGGAAGCTGGGAGGGGAGTATAGACTGGGAAGAAGGAAAAGCTAAAAGCTAAGAGTAGCAGGGCTGCAAACAGGAAGTGAGCAGAACCAATTTTGGAGCTAGGTGGGCTCCCAGCAGCATTTCATGCACTCTTAGAAGGAACTGCAGGAGCCCCAGGTCCACTTAAGGGGCCAGAGCTGGACAGGGGCAGAGCAAACAGCCAGGAGGCCCTTTTCCTACTTTCAGCAAGATATAATAAGGACCTCTGGCAGTGGTGGTGGGGATAGAAGGGAGGAGATAGCCCAGAAGCAGGTTTTAATTTAAATTTTAATAGAAAATGCATTTTCATGGTTAAAAATAAAAAGTATTAAAAAGTGTTCAGAGGAAAGCCTTGTTCCCACCACTGACAGCTAACCTTTTATTATTAGATTTGGTGTATTTTTCCAGTTTTTTGTTTTTTTTTAACAACATAAAATGAATATTATCACTTCTGTTCTTTTTTACTCAGTTCTATAGATACTGTTTTACACTTTGTTTTTTTTTTTCTTTTCCCCACTTAATATATTCGAGATCTTTACAATACACAGAAAACAGCATTGTCTGTTTTGATGTTTGCATAATATTTGCTTGTGTGAATATACCAGAATTTATTTAACTAATCCCCTGCTGATGGACACTTGAGTTTTCCCAATTTTTTATCTGAGACACCATCTCAGAGAATAGGCTTCGTTATTCCCCATCTGTGCAGAGATTTTTGTAGGACAGACTCCGAAGGAGGGATGGCTGCAGCAGAGAACATAGGCCCTCTATAAGAGTTGTACCAATTTATACAACCACCAGCAATGAGTGAGCCTGCGTGTTTCCCCAGAATTGCCAGCAGAGTATATGATCAAGCTTTTGGATTTTTGCCAGCCTAATGGGTGAAAATGGTATCTCATAGTTTTCAATTGCATTCTCTTATTATGAACGTAGTTGAGAAGTATTGTCATGTATTTATGAGCCATTTGTATTTCCTTTCTGTCAACTGTTTGTTCATATACTTTGCCTAGTTTTCACTTAGGTTGTGACTTGTTTCTTTTAAAGTCAGTTTCTAGGAGTTTTTGAACCAGGGCGGCCATAAGATATGGAAACAGAAGTGACTATACATAATAAGTGGTTTATTAATATATTTCAATACATGTTATATTCAGTGACATTTCATGATATGTTCCATGTGTTATCCCTTATTAGCAACTGCTATGCAAAATGGCAATGGCTGGGGTACATAAATGTCGCGTCTCTATCAATCCCACAGAGGCACATGTCTTTCTGATGCGCTGACACAGATTATCTGCATCTCCTATTCTCACAGAATAAATCTACACCTCTTAGCACACTCCAGAGAAACAGATCAAGGGCTTCTGCTTCCAGCCGTGGTGGATTTATCCTCCTGCCTTAAACAACTAAGAACTTGAACAAAACATATGGGACAATGGCATTAAGTCCTGGATAACAGCTAGCATAGAGAAACAAACAAGGTGAGCCCTGCAGCTTTCTTAGCTTACTGCTTAAAGAGGATTTTCTGTCTACAAAACACAGAATGGGTACCCAAACAGAGCCTGGGATTTTTCCTGAGCTAAGAAAACAGCGTTCAGGCTTGGGGAGGTCCGTGTGACTGGAACTGTGGGGCAGAATACTGGAAAAGGGAGAGTTACACAGAAAGAACATTCTGGAGCCCTGAGAAAGGTCTCCCTCAGGTCTTTACTTGAGTATTGATCTGTGGAGGCAGGTATGAAAACTATCTAAGGTCTGGGGAAAAAACAAACACTAAAATGGATCAGTCAGAACAATTGCAGAGCTCACACAGGATCAGAAATAGTTCACGTTACCACTAGCCAGCCATTTCCAAACAGCCATTTTTACTTACAGAGAAACAAAGACAGTACTATCAGTAGACTTCTTGTTGGAAACACAAGTCAGAAGATGGTGAAAGGGAAAAAAAAAACCCCAAAACTGTCAGCCTATCGTCAGATAAAATATATTTCAAACACAAAGATGAAATAGAATTTTTCAGATATACAAGAGCTGAAAGAATTCACTACCTCCTCTGGGACTCTGAGGGGCCTTTCCAGGAGGGTCTTCTTCCCAGAAGGAAGAAGGACAGGGACAGCAGCCCTGGAACAAGAGCTACGTGGAAGCTCAGAGACATCCAGAAGGGCTTTACATCTCTCACAGGGCTCCCTCAGATTTCAGCCGCCACAGCCGGCAGTGAGAGCCTGGGTGAGCAGAGACTCACTGTGTCTCCCTGGGGGTTTGGGGACAGGGCTGAAGGGGTCGGGGAAGATGCTTGGTCCAAGTTGTCTGGTCACTGGGAGAAAGAGGGAGGTGGTGCAGAGGGGCAGACAGGAGGCTTCTGCTCCCCGTCTTCTGGAGAAGTGTGGCCTTAGCATGGCCATGAGTCATGCTCCAGCTTCTCCATCGTCCCTAAGAACAGACATCTATCCACAGTCTTTTATCGTGAGGGCTAGGGCGGAGGATGAAGTTTGCTACCAAGAGGTATTATCATATTGTCTTGCTTCCTGCCCTCTATGGCTTCCCGTCTGTGCGAAGAGATGAGGCCTGGACACAGACTGGCCGCAGCACGTAGGACAGGCCACTGAGGTGCTTCCTTGCCTTCGGAACTCTCACTTGGACGTGGAAATCACTGGAGAATGAGGAAGTTCGTTGCTCTGTGTCCCCAGATCTCCCAGTGAGGCTCACCCTGCCGGAGCAGTCACAATAAAGCTCCTTCCAGCAGCTTCCTGTCACGTCAGCTGAAATAGGTGGCTCCCTGCAGTGCTCCTTCTCCTGGAGGCTGTGTGGAGTTTTCTGTGCCTGCCAGGATGTTTCCTCTTCACCGCCCTGACGAGAGCGCAGGCTCTGTCAAACAAGAGTGCAGGTCTGCGCTGCCTGCCTGCGAGCACAGCTGGGCCAGCCGCACACAGCTGCCAGCTGCAGAGGGTTTATTTTCATAGCAACCCGCCCTGTTCTTGACAACAGTGGCCTGGGGCCCAGCTGCAGGATGACAGGTATGGTCAATGAATTGCCGCAGTGTCTTTTGTCTCGCCCGCCCACGAGTGCCAGTGAGGCGTGTTTGTTCCTGTCCCTCGTGAGTCTGAGTCCGATTGATCCCCACACCCCGCTGACTCCACTTCCTTCAGAGCCCAGCCTGGCCTGAGCTCTCGGAAACTTCCCCTCACTAAGCCAGGGCCTAGGGAAATGTAGACCCATTGCCAGGAACTGAGTCGGGAAGAGAAAACATTTCAGAAAACACTGGAGAAGAGGGAACGCTGAGAAGGCAGTCAGAGCCCATGTTCCTCACACCAGTGGGCCAGGCTCTATCCAATGTGGGTGATGTCCCTGAAGGCCACAGCCATGAGGGCACTTACCCAGCTTACCATTCTGAGCAGAGAGTCCTTGCACAGATCTGCCTAAGGATGCTCAAAACTGGTCCTGTCATCTAACAGACAGGCCCAGAGATGCCAGGTGAGATGCACAAAACCAGATAGTGGGTGGGCGGTTAGACTAGGGTTAGAACCTGGGACCCACCAAAGCAAAGCCAGCAGAACTGAACTTCAACTTCCAGCCCCAACACACAAGCATATGCATGCACACGCACATATATTGCAGGTGATCTGTGACTTCCATGCCCTGACAAGAGTTCCTGTGACCTGAGTTTGTCTGCATACAAATGTGGGCTCTAGGGGTACCTGGAACCCACTCCATGATAATTACAGCAGCTGCTTTTTATCACTCAGCTCTATGCCAAGTATGTGGCCAAATGCCTACTTGCCTTAGCTCATATAATCCTCACATCTCAGTGGAGTAAGGATTATCCCCAGCTTATGAAGGAGGAGCCTGGGCTCGGGAAGATTCCTTCACTTGCTCAAGTCATTCAGCGAGAAGGAGGCAGAGTCAGGATGTGTGCCCGGGTCTGCTGGCTCCAGACCCATGCTCTCAGCCACTCCGGCATCCACCTGCCTCAGACAGGACCTGCTTCTATTCCCCTCCCTCCAAGAGCCTACTAAAGGGGTTCTCTGGAGTTGTCTTCTGGGCCTTTACTCCAGATGCAGGCATATATTTTGGCAGAGGGGAAGGTCGAGGACTGTACATTTTCAGGAGCATCCATCCACAAGCAAGTACCTGAGAAGCTCATGGACCAGCATGGGAGCCACACAGACCCCTCGAGGTTACCGGAACCGAGGGTGGTGGGCTGAGCGGGGTGGGCCAGAGACCAGAGGGTGACTGACTTTGCAATGTGTTCTGTTTTATCTTTCAAATCTAGTACTGTATACATATCTTGCCTTTTTAAAAATAAAATAGATGTTTTTTTTAAAAGTTACCCAAATGTTTTCAGAAGGGCTTATAACCCCGTACTGACTCGCAATACACGTTTTTTTGGTAGCACAACCCTTGTGACAGCTGCCAGCCTCCAGAACCAGCCAAGCACTTCATGCTTTGGGGATTTATTGTGATAAATAATAACCTGTCACCACCTTGGTGGAGCAGCACAAATGGGTTCTCACATCTCCTGGCCCAGTTCACACTTTGACTAGCCTGAAAGTTCCACTTAGCAGAGGTCTGGGTGTTCTAGCCTCCTTCTTACTCATCCATGAAGACAGGTAGAGGTATAGAAGATACGGTTGTCATTAGCCACTACCCACCCACCCCCTCCAGCACATCCCCCGAGACTTTCTTCAGAGCACTTGTAACGCTACTTGAAATGATCTCACTTGTGTATTGGATTCCTGCTAATCCATCTCTCTCCAGTGAGCAAGCCCCAGGAGGGCAGGGACTTAGGCCTCTTCTCAGCACCTAGGACAGTGCCTGGCACACAGTGGGCACACAAGTGGGCACACA